GCTTGAGTCACATCGCTGCAGACGTAGCAAGATCTGAAATCTCTGTAACCCTCAAAAACGCTAAGATGCCAGCTAGCAACATCAGCAAAGATGAGCGTTTTGAATTAGCTCAATTAAAAAAGAGGGATGACATTGTCATCCTCTCAGCCGACAAAGGCAATGCCACTGTCATCATGGACAAAATAGAATACAACAACAAAATTCAAGAACTACTAAACGATGGCAGCTATACAAAAATAAAAAGAGACCCCACCAACAGCCTCGTCTCCAAAACCAACAACATCATTTCTGCTTCAACCGCATTAATTGATCAGACCAAACAGTTCTCGTTGAAACCTTCTGCAGCCAGGCCACCAAGATTGTACGGCTTGCCAAAGATACATAAAGAAGATACACCTCTTCGTCCCATTGTCTCTACTATCAACTCCCCCACTTACAAACTGGCTCGTTTTTTGTCCGAAATCCTACGGCCTTTCACTGGAAAAACCACCTCTGCAGTACTAAACTCTACTGACCTGGTATCGACAATCAAGGGGATTGCCCTGTCCCCAGACGACCTGCTTGTCAGTTTTGATGTGGTTTCCTTGTTCACCAAGGTACCTGTGCCTGACACCATCGCAATCATTGAAGACTTGGTTCATCAAGGACTGAATGCTGGGGTACCCCCCCTGGTGAGACACTGCTTAACCAATACATACTTCACCTGGAATGGAACCTTCTACAAGCAAATTGAGGGCACCCCAATGGGCTCCCCCCTATCTCCGGTTGTAGCCAACATCTTCATGGAGAAATTTGAGACGGACGCCATCCAGACTGCCACTCTACGCCCGACCTTATGGAAGAGGTACGTAGACGACACTTTTGTCATCTGGCCACATGGCCGGCCTGCTCTAGACCAATTTCTCGACCACATCAATTCCATACACCCAGCCATCAGATTCACCATGGAAGTCGAAAATGATGGCAAGCTACCCTTTTTGGATGTCCTAATCAAAAGGAGACCTGATGGTTCAATGAGCCACTCTGTCTACAGGAAAGCCACCCACACGGATGCTTATCTAAAACCGGATTCCCACCACCATCCATCCCAGAAGAATTCCCTCATCAAGACTCTATATCATAGAGCCCAATGCATCTCCGACCATGAACACATTTCCAGTGAACTCAAACACGTACGCCAAGCTCTTAAGGCTAATGGTTACTCCGACTACACAATCCGCAAAGCCATCACTCCAACCATCAAGAAGGATCCTGTTGAGGAGCCTTTCAAGACCATCACCTTACCCTACATTGCTGGGGTCACAAAAAAGATCTCCAAAATCCTGATTAAACACAAGATCCAGGTCCGATTCAACACAGTACATAAAATCCGTGATCTGGTACCGTCTGTAAAAGATGTGGTTCCAGACATACAGTACCCTGGCGTCTACAAACTAAGTTGCCTCTGTGGTAGCAGTTACATTGGGGAAACCAAACGACATGTCTCGGACCGCATCCGTGAACATAAAGCTGACCTGAAACACGGTAGGACAAACACCTCAGCCGTGGCAGATCACTGTTACAACTCAGTGGGCTCACATGATATTGACTTCTCCAAGACAGAGGTTCTCTGCAAGCCATCTGGCTATCATGAGAGATTCGTTCATGAGGCGATCCACATATACAAACACAGAGACAATTTTAACCGAGAAGATGGATTCTGGCTTAGCAATCATTGGAAGGACGTAATAAACCATTTCGACACACATTAGGGTGGTAGAATAATACATAGTGTTATATTAAATGTATAAGATATAGGTTGGTTTACAGCAATACAGTATATAATTTAATGTTGGCAGTATATAGTACGGTATATGCTCGTGTGATCAATAGAATAAAGTTTAGATGGAAGCATATTATATAATTTTTACGACGTAGAATTGTAATGTATTACTTGCTGTTAGTAACTCAGCTTAGTGTAGAGTATAGTAAGTATACTGATGGTGCTATGCAGTTTATACTTTAGTTTTTTATGTAGTTTATACTTTAGTTTTCTACGTGGTTGTTGAGTAACTGCAGCTACATATCATTAACATTCCTTTCCTTTGTTACTGCTAATCCCTGCACCCCCCTTTGGTGCTGTTGATCCTGCATAATGCATGGGCATAATATGACTTTGAAACCCCCCCGCCCACCTCCTACGCATTTTCCATGAATATGCTAAATTCCTCTTCATATGCACATTCTTTTGTTAAGGCGCTCTTCTTCCACCTCCAACGCAGCTTATATATAAGCTCCTAGCTTGGCATTGTCTCATTCTTCACCTGAAGACGGCTGCTTGCGTTGTGCCGAAACGTCGTGAGAATTGTTTTATTATGTTTTATTTTTATTATTTTATTACTTCCCTTCTACGTGACTTTACCGAAAGAACCAAGAAGATGAATCCCTGCAGTCACGAAAGCTTTAAATCGAAATTCATTACTACTTTAGCGCAAAGCAATTGCGTTCTTAAAGAGCAAACCCACAACGCCGACTGTGGAGTTGGTCGTCCTGCTTGGCGATGACCACCAGAGGCAGTCACTGAGCGACCGTTCGAGTGACAAACGTCTCCCATTGGCCGTGCCGCGTGGAGCTGACAGGGTTACGTCACTTTCACATCCATCAGAAACTTGTCTGCACTGGAGGGATCCGTGCAGCCCCATAGGAGGTTGTGGGTTCGATCTCGATTCTGACAGCTGCTGCCGTATACTTGGAGTCTGTGTCTCTCTCTCATCATCATCATCACCACGGTGGCTGTGAGATGTTAACTACCTCGCCTGGTCTACAGGAGGTCGTGGGTTCGATCTCGATTCTGACAGCTGCTGCCGTATACTTGGAGTCTGTGTCTCTCTCTCATCATCATCATCACCACGGTGGCTGTGAGATGTTAACTACCTCGCCTGGTCTACAGGAGGTCGTGGGTTCGATCCCGATTCTGACAGCTGCTGCCGTATACTTGGAGTCTGTGTCTCTCTCTCATCATCATCATCACCACGGTGGCTATGAGATGTTAACTACCTCGCCTGGTCTACTGGAGGTCGTGGGTTCGATCCCGATTCTGACAGCTGCTGCCGTATACTTGGAGTCTGTGTCTCTCTCTCATCATCATCACCACGGTGGCTGTGAGATGTTAACTACCTCGTCTGGTCTACAGGAGGTCGTGGGTTCGATCCCGATTCTGACAGCTGCTGCCGTATATTTGGAGTTTGTGTCTCTCTCACTTTCTCTTATCAACACGGTGGCTATGAGATGTTGACTACCTCGTCTGGTCTACAGGAGGTCGTGGGTTCTATCTCGACCTACTGCGCCTGTCTATTTAATTAAAATGCAAATCAATTTATAACATTTTTGACCTTCTTGGTTCTTTCGGTAAAGTCACGTAGAAGGGAAGTAATAAAATAATAAAAACAAAACATAAAATAATTCTCACGACGTTTCGGCCACAACGCAAGCAGCCGTCCTCACCTGTTTTTATTATTTTATTATTTCCCTTCTACGTGATGACTTTACCGATAGAACCAAGAAGATGAATCCCTGCAGTCACGAAAGCTTTAAATCGAAATTTAACATTTTTGACATGCGTTTTTCTGGATTTTGTTGTTGTTATTCTGTCTTTCACTGTTAAAATAAACCTACCATTAAAATTATAGACTCATCATTTCTTTGTCAGTGGGCAAACGTACAAAATCAGCAGGGGATCAAATACTTTTTTCCCTCACTGTACTTGCCAATTGATAAGCATTTATTAGACAAAGCTACACACACTCACAGGTACACCGTTGTTTCGGGAAATTTCTTTAATTGCACAATCTTACCAATCAATGAGGTCCACTTTTGCCATTGGGCTCACGTTTCTACAGCGCGGTTACATATGAAGTAAAAATCGTTTAAGGACGTTCCTATTGTAATCACACGTACGATTGATCACATGACAGTTACTCAATTAGCATAAATTAACATGAAACACACAAGCATCATTTCCATTTCCCAATTAAAAATTTTAAAAATTCAGAAAAACAATAAACACAACAACACCGTGTCACCTGCTGTTCACATTTGCCCACAGCTGTTCACAAACCACATAGCCAACATCTGAAATGCCTTTTGCTTTGTCAATGTAAACCGCAGCGGGCTGTCACGCCATCATAACGACGTGCGAAACGCTAAACCCAACGCCTCTCTACCAGCGATGGGAGAAGGTTTAACGAGAAAATTAAAACAGAAACTCACGCAAATTAAGAAGCTAAAGTAACGAAAAGATTTGCGTTGCTTTAATCAAACATCCCCCTCCCCCCCGACTCGTACATTTATACGTCGGCCCAATGCGATAAGCCACGATGCCACAAAGAACGCGTTCTAAGGAGACTTGAACTCTCAACGCTCCGCTGGGTTACAAACCCAGAGCAGAGCTGAATCCCCCAGCTACGAGGCTGGGTGCCGGGCTGCCCCCCCCCACCCCCCCCCACCCCCCCACACCGTCGCGTGGGTCAACGGCGTGCCCCCCACCCCTCCCCCACATCGCGTGGGTCAACGACGTGCCCCCCACCCCCCCCCCCCGTCACGTCACGTGGCTCAGCGACAGAGAACGTCGACAAAAAAAAGACGATCACAACGGGGGCGGCGCATCGGGGGGGGGGGAGGGTGTAGCGGGCGGAGAGTGAAACTGGCTCTGGCGCTAGAGCCACACCGTGCGAGGGGCGGCGGTGGCGACGTCACCAGCGACGTCACCAGCGGCGTCACCAGCGGCGTCACCAGCGGCGACGTCACCAGCGACGTCACCAGCGGCGTCACCAGCGGCGTCACCAGCGGCGACGTCACCAGCGGCCTGTCCGGGGGCCTCCTGGCGCGGGGGGGGCGGGGCGGCCTCAGCGTCAGCCCCAACTCCGTCTGGAGTTCCCGCAGCTCCTCACGCAGCTGACACAATTCACGCGGCGACATCGCCACCACTGCCGCTGCTGCTGCTGGTGCTGCTCCTGCTGCTGCTACTGCTGCTGGTGCTGGTGCCGGGGCTGCCGGGGGCGCCGGCTCGCCCGGAGCCGCCACCCTAGAAAACGATTTGAATTTCAAGAGTTTTCATTGACAACAATATGTGAATACACTGCACACGATAGAGGGTTTGTCTGGGTTATATTGCGTGTATAGTGTATAGTGTAGTGTATAGTGTAGTGTATAGTAGTGTAGTGTGTAGTGCAGTGTGTAGTGTAGTGTCTAGTGTATAGTGTAGTGTATAGTGTAGTGTATAGTAGTGTAGTGTATAGTGTAGTGTATAGTGTAGTGTATAGTAGTGTATAGTGTAGTGTATAGTAGTGTAGTGTGTAGTGCAGTGTGTAGTGTAGTGTATAGTGTAGTGTATAGTGTAGTGTATAGTAGTGTAGTGTATAGTGTAGTGTATAGTAATGTATAGTGTAGTGTATAGTGTAGTGTATAGTGTATAGTAGTGTATAGTGTAGTGTATAGTGTAGTGTATAGTGGTGTATAGTAGTGTAGTGTATAGTAGTGTATAGTGTAGCATAGTGTAGTGTATAGTGTAGTGTGTAGTGTAGTGTATAGTAGTGTATAGTGTACAGTGCAGTGTATAGTGGCTAATGCGATCTAAACCCAAAAACCTCGACAACGACGATGATGAATGATAATAATAGTTATCGCCGTGACGCGTGAGGAGCGGTGTGAGCGCTCCTCGTGAAACTCACCCGGCGCCGTTCCCGTCCGGGGCGGCGCCCACCAGCGAGTGGTACCCCGGGGGGGGGCGGGGAGGGGGGGCACCGGCGACACGCGCCGGCTGCCCTGGGCCACCTTCACCCGGGAAGCCTCCAGCGTCGTGCGGGCCGCCTGCTTGCCCTCCGCGGACCTACGTCACACACACACATCTATATACACAGCTGTGAACACATTACACTACACACTACACTATACACTACACTATACACAACATCTATATAGATAGCTGTGAACACATACACTACACTATACACTACTACACTACACTATACACTACACTATACACTACACCAGGGGTCCTCAAACTTTTTAAACAGGGGGCCAGTTCACTGTCCCTCAGACCGTTGGAGGGCCGGACTATAGTTTAAAAAAAACTATGAACAAATTCCTATGCACACTGCATATATCTTATTTTGAAGTGAAGAAACAAAACGGGAATAAATACAATATTTAAAATGAAGAACAAGTAAAGTTAAATCAACAAACTTGCCAGTATTTCAATGGGAACTATGGGCCTGCTTTTGGCTAATGAGATGGTTAATGTCCGGTTCCATATTTGTCACTGCTCGTCGTAACAAGTGATGCAAGTGTGCATCCATTAGTCTAGATCTGGTTGGAGATTTCAAATGTTTCATTCTGGAAAAAGTCTGTTCACAGACATAAGTGCTGCCAAAGATGGTTGCCATTTTGAGTGCATGGTTCCTGAGATGAGGATATGTCTCAGAGGGGAGAGATGCATAGAAATTATGAAGGCTGCTTGACTTGAATGCGTCTTTCAGAGAGTCACAATTCTGCAGTTCAGCCAGTTCCATTTGGTAAATTGTATCCACATTTTCAATGTCAATAGAAAATGGGTTACGGAAAAGCTGTATGTCCTGTTCATGGAGATGAAGCTCTTTAAATCCAAATTGGAACTCCTTTTGCAATTTTTCCAGTGAATCCACACGTTTTGTTTGGGAATGCAACCAATGGTTTTTCCGCTAACAGATTTTGAGTTGTGGGGAGATGGCAGAAGTTTTCCTCCTTCACTTGTTTGATGAGGAGGCCTAATATTACTTCAAATGCTTTGACATGTGATTGCATATCACAGATGAGCTTCCCCTTTCCTTGAAGTTGCACATTGAAACTGTTGAGTAGCTCTGTTACATCTGTCAGAAAGGCAAGGTGCCATTTCCATTCTGCATCATTGAGCTCTGGTACTTCTTTGTTTTTTTAAAGCAGAAAAGCTGTAATCTGTGGAAGTAAGTCATAGAAACGTTTCAAAACTCTCCCTCGACTCAGCCAACGGACTTCTGTGTGATACAGAACATCTTCATAGTCAACATTTAGCTCAGACAGAAATGCTGAAATTGTCTGTGGTTTAGTGCATGAGCTCTAATGAAGTTAACACAAGATACCACAAATTTCATAACCGAGTCCCACTTCAGTGATTTACTACACAGCGCTTGTTGGTGGATGAGGCAGTGTATGGCTATTGGATGAGAATGGTTATGTTTGTCCATCTCTTGGTTAATGCGAGCAATTACTCCTTTCTTAGACCCCACCATGCTAGGAGCACCATCAGTTGTCACACTGGCTAGTTTAGCCCAGTTCAGCTCCAAACCATTCACAGTTTGGCAAACCTTTTCATAGATATCCTCTCTTCTTGGTTCTTTCGGTAAAGTCACGTAGAAGGGAAGTAATAAAATAATAAAAATAAAACATAATAAAATAATTCTCACGACGTTTCGGCCACAACGCAAGCAGCCGTCCTCAGGTGAAAGCCAGGTCTGTCGGGGAGACAGCGTCTGAATGAAACCACACGAGCTTGGAGCATATATAAGCTGGGTTGGAAACGGGGGAAAGAGCGCCTTGACAAATAATTTGCATATCAAGAGGAATTTAGCATATTTATGGGACATGCAGGAATGTTATTAGTACTACATATGCAGCACGGGCATATGTAGTACTAATCACATTCCTGCATTTCCCATAAATATGCTAAATTCCTCTTGATATTGAAATTATTTTGTCAAGGCGCTCTTTCCCCCGCTTCCAACCCAGCTTATATATGCTCCAAGCTCGTGTGCTGTTTCATTCAGACGCTGTCTCCCCAACAGACCTGGTTTTCACCTGAGGACGGCTGCTTGCGTTGTGGCCGAAACGTCGTGAGAATTATTTTATTACTTCCCTTCTATGTGACTTTGCCGAAAGAACCAAGAAGATGAATCCCTGCAGTCACGAAAGCTTTAAATCGAAAGATATCCTCTCCTGTAGTTGTTCCTTTGATGCTTTGCAGTGCAGCAAGCTCTTCTGTGACTTCGAAATAGTCATTCGTCGCACGAATAAAAATTTGAAGTTGTGCAGAATCACGAACATCATTGCTTTCGTCGAGTGCCAAGGAAAAATAGGAAAGTTTTTTGTGGAGTTTTGCAAATGCTGATGCAAATTGTCTCCCATTTCTTCAATCCTCCGTGTAATTGTAGGTCCTAAAAGACTCACTGTACTAAATAAATCGGCCTTCTCTGGACACATCTCTTTGGCAACAGAAAGAAGGCATTCTTTAACAAATTCTCCCTCCACGAATGGTCTGCCAGTGCATGCTATTAGCTTGGAAACTTGAAAACTTGCTCGCAGTGATGAAATATTTAGCTGCTTCTGCTTCACAAAACTATTTCGCTGAGTTGTTAATGTATTTTTCAGTTTTAATATTTTATCTTTTCTCACTTCTCCGACCAAACAAGCATATTTATCTTTATGTTGAGTTTTATAGTGTTGACGTAAATTGTATTCTTTGAACACAGACACTATATTCTGGCATATCAGACACACAGCTCTTTCCTTGTACTGCATGAAAAAGTAATCATAAGTCCACTGTTCTTTGAATATCCTACACTCCGAGTCAATTTTTCTCTTTCTTGACATCATTGTTTCCTAGGGAGTCAAAATTGATATTAGTAAAATACCAATATATATACAGCGCTACAAAAACAATATACCAGTAATAACTTTGCCCACACAGAGACATACAGACTGCACTGCCCATCAATGCAGTCTGATTGGGGGAAACTCCGCCCCCTCTCCCTCTTCCACCAATGACCGTCCTTCCCATGCAGAAAAAAAGTAACAGACAGGCAGCGGCGGCAAAAACACCCGGCGGGCCGGATAAATGTCCTCGGCGGGCCGCATGCGGCCCGCGGGCCGTAGTTTGAGGACCCCTGCACTACACTATACACTACACTACTATACACTACACTATACACTGCACTATACACTACACTACTACATATCTGTCCCACACACCGAACAGAAACCTTTTGCAAGGAATCATCTCCCTGTATCGACCACACACACATACGCGGTACGTGTGGTGAACATGCCGACAGGACCACGCTCTGGTAGTCAATGACGACGACGCTTTGTGACTGATTGGTCCCCACCAGAGAGCGCCGCTTTCTCTAGAGGCTGGTCTCACTGACGCTGTTGGATGAGAGGACACTTCCACTGCCAGCACCTTCACAGCTCGGGGTGAGACTCATCAGCCTCTAGACAAAGCGGTCTCTGGTGGGGACCAATCAGTTTCAAAGTCAATTCATCGTCGTCATCGTCATCATCGTCATATACTACCAGAGCGTGTTTTATCTCTCTGCATGTTCATCACACGTACCGTGTGTGTGGCCAATGCAGTGAGATGATTCCTTGCGGGAGGTTTCCGTGTGGCGTTATCGTGCTAACGCAGCTGCTGAAACATATTCTTATATTTTGTCACGATGTTTAAGCTGTCTTCTTGGTTCTTTCGGTAAAGTCACGTAGAAGGGAAGTAATAAAACAATAAAAATAAAACATAATAAAACAATTCTCACGACGTTTCGGCCACTCGCACGACCCAACACCGAAGCCGACGACCTCCGACAACCATTGGAACCTCATTTGGCAGTAAAAAATATGATCATTGGTTTTTTACCCTTCTATCTGGCAACAAAACTGACACCAATTATCATATTTTTTACTGGCAAATGAGGTTCCAATGGTGTAAATGCTTCACCCCGAGCTCTCATACTCTGATGGTGCGTTGTCTTTGAGTTGTGCGCCTTTTGGCATCATCTGATTCAACACCATGTGAGACTAGGCTCTAAGGAAAGCTGTCTCGGGTGTGGACCAATCAACTTCAAGGACAGTGCATACATTATCAGAGTTGTGTTTTTTGTTTGCATTCCAACCGCAGGTATTGTGGTCTATGCAAACATGACTCCTTGTAAAAAAGGTGTCAGTTTTGTTGCCAGACAGAAGGGTAAAAAACCAATTATCATATTTTTTACTGGCAAATGAGGTTCCAACGATCTACAATCTGAGTACGACGCTTCGTCCAGTGATCACAACCAGCATCATCAGGCGGACAACAGACAGACCAGTGCATTTGCTCTGCAACACGACGGTGGGCTGAAGCATGAACCCATCGGTGAAAAAACTATTATCTACCTCCGACAAGGCGTCGTTCGCGCCCCCCCCCCCCGCGTGCCCCCCCCCCGCGTGCCCCCCCCCCCCCGTGTGCCCCCCTCACCTGCTCCCGCTCAGCAAGTCGTGGAAGGCGCCCAGCCCCAGGTAGCAGATCTCGGACAACTCCAGCAGGAGGCTGAGGGCGGCGATGGCGTACATGAGCAGGAGGAAGATGGTCTTCTCCGTGGGGCGAGACACGAAGCAATCCACGCGGTGTGGGCAGGGGTGGCGGACGCACTCGAAGCGTGGGGCCACCTCAAAGCCGTAGAGCAGGTACTGGCCTGCCAGGAAGCCCATCTCGGCCAGCGTACGCGCCAGCAGCTGGAGGGTGTAGGCCGCCATCAGCCCGTCAGACTTGATCCTCCAACGCTCGTTGTGTTGCCAAGGCTCCCGCTTGCCCTCTTCTTCACCCTTCTCCTCCACCTCCTCCTCCTCCTCCTCCACATCCACCTCCTCCTCCTCCACCTCCTCCTCCTCCTCCTCCACCTCCACCTCCTCCGTGCATTCAACCGCGCGGTCGACTCGCTTGGCCCGCTTGTTCCGTTGGTCTCGCTTGAGCTCGATCCTGACCACGGCAGAGAGCGGCGGCGGCGGCGCCGTTCAAGTCCCGGTGTGAAGCGTCGGGGGCGAGTGAAAGTGTAAGTGCTCGCTCGCTGCGAAACGCGACATCACGACGACCAACAGAGACGGACACGGCGCTGTCCGGGATCCCACTCCCGATTGTCGCCTCCGAGAGACGCTTGAAGTGTCAAGTGAGCACCTGGTGCGACGTGCAAGAACTTCGCCAACCGGGGAGGCAAACGCAGCCGGCGTGGCTCTGGCCACAGACCCCCTCGGGGGCTTTGAAGCGCCGCTCGCGAGAAGCACTTATCCCGACGGCCTTTGGAGACTACGCGGGGGACTTTTGTCTTTGTGCGCGTGTGGCCCCGTGTGCGTGTGTCTGTGTGTGTGTCTGCGTCTGTGTGTGTGCGTGTTTCCATGTGTATGTCTGTCTGCGTCTGTGTGCGTCTGTGTGTGTCTGCGTGTGTCTGTGTGCGTGTGTGTCTGCGTGTGTCTGCGTATGTGTGTGTGTGTCTGCGTGTGTCTGTGTGTGTCTGCGTGTGGCCCGTCTGCGTGTGTCTGCGTGTGTCTGTGTTTATCTGTGTGTGTCCGCGTGTGTCTGTGTGTGTGTCTGCGTGCACGTGCGTGTGTCTGTGTGTGCGTGTGTCTGCGTGTGTCTGTGTGTGCGTGTGTCTGTGTGTGTCTGCGTGTGTCTGTGTCTAGAATCCAAATTCCCCCCCCCGCTGTGAAACACTCCCTCCGGGGACGTGTGTACCTGGTGATGCGATGAACAGCGAAGCCGAGGTACAGGATGGTGGGCGTGGCGACGGCGATGATCTGGAACACCCAGAAGCGGACGTGCGATAGTGGCGCGAAGCTGTCGTAGCAAACGTTCTCGCAGCCGGGCTGCGCCGTGTTGCACGTGAAGCGGCCTTGCTCGTCGTAGTAGATCGACTCGCCGGCCACCGTCGTGAGAACGATGCGGAAGATGAGGAAGGTGGTGATCCACAGCTTGCTCAGGAATGTGGAGTGTCGGTGAACCTCCTCCAGCAGCTGCGTCAGGTAGCCCCAGCTCATCGTGAACGCCGCTCAGATGCAAAGACGCCGCTGTGGGGAAACGTTCGAGTTTGTACGGGCAACTAGCGTCACTTAGAAACATTCAACTTCAGGACTTTGAGTGATGATCAAATAACCTGTCCCGTTTGTCCAGTTGCCCGTTTGGAACGAGAGTCGTAAGTTCAACCTCCACGCACAATAGATGACAGTGGTGGCATCCACATCTATAAAACGTGAAGAACCAGTGGCATCTACATCTACAGAACGTGAAGAACCAGTGGCATCTACATCTGCAGAACGTGAAGAACCAATGGCATCTACATCTGCAGAACGCGAAGAACCAGTGGCATCTACATCTACAGAACGTGAAGAACCAGTGGCATCTACATCTACAGAACGTGAAGAACCAGTGGCATCTACAGAACGTGAAGAATTAGTGGCATCTACATCTGCACAACGTGAAGAACCAATGGCATCTACATTTACAGAACGTGAAGAGCCAGTGGCATCTACATCTGCAGAACGTGAAGAACCAATGGCATCTACATCTACAGAACGTGAAGAACCAATGACATCTACATCTACAGAACGTGAAGAACCAGTGGCATCTACATCTGCAGAAGATGAAGAACCAGTGGCATCTACATTTACAGAGCGTGAAGAACCAGTGGCATCTACATCTACAGAACGTGAAAAACCAATGACATCTACATCTGTAGAACGTGAAGAACCAGTGGCATCTACATCTGTAGAATGTGAATAACCAGTGGCATCTACATCTGTAGAACGTGAAGAACCAGTGGCGTCTACATCTACAGAACGTGAAGAACCAATGGCATCTACATTTACAGAACGTGAAGAACCAGTGGCATCGACATCTACAGAACGTGAAGAACCAGTGACATCTACATCTACAGAACGTGAAAAACCAGTGGCATATACATCTACAGAACGACAAGAACCAGTGGCATCTACATCTACAGAACGTGAAGAACCAGTTGCATCTACATCTACATAACGTGAAGAACCAGTGGCATCTACATGTACAGAACGTGAAGGACCAGTGGCATCTACATCCGCAGAACGTGAAGAACCAGTGGATTCTACGTCTGTAGAACGTGAAGAACCAATGGCATCTACATCTGCAGAACGTGAAGAACCAGTGGCATCTACATCTGCAGAACGTGAAGAACCAGTGGCATCTACATCTGCAGAACGTGAAGAACCAATGACATGTACATTTACAGAACGTGAAGAACCAGTGGCATCTACATCTACAGAACGTGAAGAACCAATGACATCAACATCTACAGAACGTGAAGAACCGATGACATGTACATTTACAGAACGTGAAGAACCAGTGGCATCTACATCTGCAGAACGTGAAGAACCAATGGCATCTACATCTACATAACGTGAAGAACCAATGACATCAACATCTACAGAACGTGAAGAACCAGTGGCATCTACATCTACATGAGATTATATGACTTTTAAGGCTATTCTCTGTGTTTGGTGTACATGCCATACACCACGTTTGGATCGACAGAAGTCAAGTTGGACTTACAAACGGTACCTCTGGAACCTAACCTTGGTAACGTAAGTTGAGTTCACTCAGCGTTGTGTCCACACGCTCACACAACAACAACAGCCATTCGGCAGTCAACCCAAGGCACCTACCATGGGTTGGCTGACAGATGGCTGGCCGATGCAACAACTGTGCCCCCTACTGTGAATACTTGCTGCCCTTTAAACGCCCGGCGCTCCGCTCGTTGTTGTGAGTGTTGCTCCTCTGCCCTCTGTTGTTGCTGGAGGGCGACTGCCTCCAACTGATTCTAGATTTGAAGCTTTTGTGACTGCAAGGATTCAAACTCTTAGGTTATTTCGGTAAAGTCACGTAGGTAAAAATATTAATAAATTATAAAAAATAATCATAGAAATAAAATAATAAATCACGTCTTTTAGGAGGCAACCCAAGTCTCCGTCATCAGGTGGGACGTCACAGCTAAATTGACTGTATCAAGTGAGGCAAATTCCAAGTGACAAGCTCTTAAATACAAGTTAAGGGGGAGGAGGGGAGGGCTTATCTGAATGTTAAACGCGGGTATGTCAACACTCGGTAAAGTAGAATAGTACCTGTCAAATAAGATGGTACAAATATGTGTAGTTAAATCTTTTACCGTGATGATGGGTACAAACTAATCATTGGAAAGATGTTATTAACCATGTAACAGTCACTCACCCACTCACTCACCCACCAACTCACCCACTCATCCACTCACTCACCCACCCACTCACCCACCCAAATCACCCACCCACCCACTCACTGTCACTCACTCACCAATTAATCCACTCATCCACTCACTCACTCACCCACTCACCCACCCACTCACTGTCACTCACTCACCAACTCAGCCACTCATCCACTCACTCACCCACCCACCCAACTCACCCACCCAATCACTCAGTCACTCTCCCACCCACTCACTCACCACCCAACTCACTCAGTCACTCACTCACCCACCTACCCAGTCACTCACCCACCCAATCACTCACCCACCCACTACCCACTCACCCACTCACTCGGCCACTCACCCACCCACTACCTACTCACCCACCCACACACTCAGTCACCCTACATTATAGACTGTATCTATGTGTACAGTCTACATTATAGACTGTGTCTTTATTATAGACTGTATCAGAGGTAATATTGTTATTTCTATTAATATAATTTTTATTATAAATTATTATTTTTACCTACGTGACTTTACCGACAAAAAACCTAAGAGTATACCTCCAACTGCCCAGTAGTAGCAGCGTCCTTCACGAGCCTCCTCCTCCTGCTCCACAGAGGCTGATCCACTCAGCTCCACATCACTCCATCTCTTCTCTAGCAGTTCAGGCGTTCGCTCACACACACACACAGCCACAGCAGCAAGGAGAGACACAGACGGCAGCGGCTGCGTGGGAGACAGAGCGCAGAGAGAGAGAGAGCGGGAGGAGGGTGGTGGGGTCAGACCTCTGCTGGAGCGCAGGAGACGATCAGCTGGGAGAAGACGCAGCGAGTGGAGGAGACTCCTTAGCAGATGCACGTGGCAAAGACGCCATCTTCCTGCCCCTCCCCCCTCACCTTCGGCTCCTCCCCCACATCCGGCCCCCCCCTCCACATCCGGCCCCCCCCTCCACATCCGGCCCCCCCTCTCCACATCCGGCCCCCCTCCACATCCGCCCCCCCTCCACATCCGGCCCCCCCCTCCACATCCGGCCCCCCCCTCTCCACATCCGGCCCCCCCCTCCACATCCGACCCCCCTCCACATCCGGCCCCCCCCTCTCCACATCCGGCCCCCCCCTTCTTCACCCTCACTTCCGGACTATTTATTGTTGAATATTTTTATTATTTTATTATTTCCATTCTACGTGACTTTACCGAAAGAACCAAGAAGATGAGTCACTTGTTGTTTTTTTCTTCTTGGTTATTTCGGTAAAGTCACGAAGAATGGAAATAATAAAATAATGAAAAAATTTTACATAATAAAATAAAAAAAACAAAATTTTTTTGTGTTATTTTATTAAAATATTTTTAAAATGTTTTTTGGTATTTTATTATTTCCATTCTACGTGACTTTACCGAAAGAACCAAGAAGATGAATCCCTGCAGTCACGAAAGAAGCTTTAAATCGAAAGAGTCACGTGTTGTTGACGACCACGTGGTGTTCCGGCCAGGCGCTAGAGGCGTCACCCCATTGGTGGATGACGACACAGACCTCGCCTCGGCTATTAAGACCCTCCCCACTCGGCCACGTGTTTCAGATGCTTGGAGCGGCAGTGGAGCTGATCACAAACATCATCCAGCAGTGCAGAGTGGAGCTGGGGACGACTTCTGTGAGTAGTAGGTGAGGCATTCACTCGAGGCTGTGTTGTCAGACACGTGTTGTTGTAGTTGAGTATAACATTTATTAAGTAACACATCGGGGTCGTTTGCGTGTACGTGACGATTATCTGAACCGGTCTTGGGACTCCCCTAGGTCGACTCAGCCTCAAATGCGTACCTGGCGTAGCCGTGTAGTGTAGTGAACATCGCTAGCCCTAGGGGAGACAAAGGCGGTCCATTAATTAATCTATAATAAAGGGGAGGGGGGTGTTTTGAGTTAGATCGCAAAAAACAGAAAATAACCTTTATGGAGAATGTCGGTATCGTGAAAACCTACGTGTTCAACTAACCCACTAATGCCCACATTTTTTTCCCAGAGGTTTATTCAAATTTGTTAAATATTATACTAAACCTTTTCTCGTAAAAATAAGATTTTTTAAATACGTAGTTTTATTTTTATTATTTCCATTCTACGTGACTTTACCGAAAGAACCAAGAAGATGAATCCCTGCAGTCACGAAAGCTTTAAATCGAATTTTTTTTTATATAGTTAAAATATACAATATACAGGCAGTCCTCTACTTACGACGGAGATGCGTTACGACGACCCCATTATCACAAGTCGAAAATATTGTAAGTCGAAGATGGCCTATACCCTATAGCCTACCCAGGAGTCTTACAGAATGGTGATAATTTAGCAACACAGAGCAATTTACAGTAGCGTGCTGTATAAACTATATACTGTGTGTACTTATTAATTACAATACTGTATTGCACAGTAAAATGTAAAGTTAAAAAAACAAGGTAAATTCTTAGCCTACAAATATTGAACTGCGATTTAATAGAAAGTTTTGTCAAGAAACAATCCTATCTGCTATAAAAAAAACACTTTTAGCATGCATTGAACGTATCGTATCGTGGTAACATTAAAATGTAATCGCTAAAGCTACGTATCATAGTGTAGTGTATAGTAGTGTATAGTGTAGTGTATAGTAGTGTATAGTGTAGTGTATATAGTAGTGTAGTGTATAGTGTAATGTATAGTGTAGTGTATAGTGTAATAGTGTAGTGTATAGTGTAGTGTATAGTAGTATAGTGTATAGTGTAGTGTATAGCATAGTGTATAGTATAGTGTATAGTGTAGTG